TTATGTTTAGAATACTATTCATGATTTAATTAAATGAAATTATAGTTTTTCATAATATAGCTTAATTATAGATCTATTAAGTAAAGTTTTTTTTTCAAAACATTTTTGGCTATAATGAAATGCATATTTAATACTATTTACTGTATTAATACCGAATCAATAGAGTACCTCAGGATTATAAAATTTTAAAAATCATTAAAAAAAAAAAAACTAATCTATTTAGATTTTTTATGTTCAACTAGTACAAAATTATTAATTTCTATCTAAGACTTATTCAATGCTCTTTCAGCTGGTGACCAAGTTGATTTAATCCATAAGGATTTTTTCAAAACCTTCGATACCATCAACCACAAAATTCACATTCTAATTTACTTTCCTATGGCATATGTGATCTTCTTCTATCTTGATTATATTCTTATTGCACCAATTGTGTTCAATTTACTAAGTACAAACATTTTTATTTTTAAATATTTAGAGTTAATTCTGGTGTCCCACAAGGGTCTCATCTAGCTCCTATTATATTTTTCTTATATATAAATTATATCGCTCTACCTCTAAAATGTTTTTCTTTGCCAATGATTTAAAAATGTACCGCACTATTAAATCAAATCACGATTATGAACTCTACAAAATTACATTAATTTTCTATCTAATTGGTGTCAACTTAATAACTTATCCCTTAATGCTAACAAATATAAATACATATCTTACACTCGATCTAGTTCTTTTATTGTGTTTATTTATAATATCGATAGTGCTTAAACTGGAATAAGTTCAAGTTGTTAAAGATTTAGGAGTAAAATTTGATATAAAATGTCTTATACAATGTACTTAATTAATAACAAGGTTGATTGATCTGAATGCTTACAAAAATTAAACTTCTATGTTATCCCACTAGATCTAATACTACTTTTTTCATTCTGCGTCAGAAATATAATTACGCGCGCTTAATTCCTCTTCTGTTCTGGTTATGAAATTTTCAAATGTATTAAATACCAATATTTTTGCTTGTAATTCACTAGAGTCCTTTAACATCATGTGTATCTTAATTAACATTAAACTATTACATTTTATTATAATCAAATTATTTAAATTGTATTATGTATTTACTATTATGATTTATTCCACTACTACTGTATTTTTCTTCTTAATGATTATTTACTATTTTATAACAGATCACTTTTTATTTAATGTTTTGTACATTTGGTTCGTCAGGTTTAAATAAATAAATAAATAATGTAATTCTTGCAGTTATCACCCAGTTTTTATGAAATAGAAGAGTTTAACGAATTCTGTAATCACGAAATTTAGAGTAGACTAAATGTAAAATAAACATTGAAACGCAAATGAAGGTTAAATTATCTTATCAAACTTCTGATTTAATTTCATTACTATTTCAATGTAACTATTTTTTAATAAAATTTCATATTTTAAATGACGTTTCATTAATATAGTCATAACATAATCCACTTAGACATTATAATTCAAATTTTAAATAATTATATCACACATTTGACTGAAGTTTTTTTTTTTTTTTTTTAATAGAAAAATAACATAATAGAAATCTATAAGAAAATAAGAAATCAATAAGAAAAAATCTAGCACGGGTTAAATGAGATTTATGTTGTACGGTGTTACATCTTTAAAATATACAACTATTTTTACAAATGAGAATGATATAAATATTATAATTTTAACATCTAAATTAATATATAAGATTTTTTGCACTTAGTAAAAAAATGATTAGTTCCTTAAACATAGAAAGTGTAAGAGTGTATGCATTATCCATACCTAATCTTCTTTTTCATCATTACTTTCTCGTAGAAGAAAAAAAAAATCAACAGTGAACATGAGCTAAAAATAGTCTATTGTTTAACGATTCACGTTTATAATATAATAAAATACTTGATGTTCAAGTCAAAACGCGTGCATGTATTCCAAATAAACCATTGTTTAATATTGCTTTATCGCAGTATAAAAAATTTAGAACAGTGTTATTATATATTATATACGTGTTAACGCCCGTGCCAGCTGAAAGAGGGCCGGTCGGCGTACATAATGTCACCCCGACAGTCGTCGGAAGGAGTGGAAATCACACAGTCGTTAGGCAACGGAACGGCTCGTTTTACGTACAGGATTATGATATGGGAGGGTTTTTGGGTAGGTTTATAATATGTACCTACTACTCGTTTATTCATATATATATATATATATATATACAAGTCATGTGACTGCAATCTGCCATTTTTTTTCCATTCCTGCTGAAACGTTACGATGGACGTTCATTTTGACCGCAATACAATTCTACAGGCCGACGAAAAACAGAACTGTCTGTTGTTTGAGTTCGACGCTTTAGTGTGAAAATTATTCGATTTAATCGAATATTGTAGTAGTACCGTCAAGAAAATAGTTCACAAACAATAAAAATAATCCTTCACGTATCACACTTAAAATGTTGAGCCCCGGGAAAAATATTTGGTTTTTCTGTTGACGGTCTTTCATTTTCTAACACTTTTTCAGTAAATATATCTTCTGATTGAAAAAACAGATTAAACAATTTCACTCAACTGTTAAGAATTGGACACAAACAATACTGTTTATGTTTTAAGTCTATTAAACAGTTGGTATTACTGCTATTCAGATGTTTAATGTGTCTTCTTCGTTCGATTAAAAATATTTCGGTAGAGGATAATTAGATACGCATGACATTATGGCACCAAAATAACACTGTTATTTTTCTGTTCAAATGTATCTATACATTTAAATGATCTTAGACGTGTCGGTGAAACAGTGATAATAAGTAAGTTAGGATTTTAATGATAAAAATAGAATGTTTTTTAGAAATACTTAAAAAACTACATTTTACAGAATTATGTTTCGATACAAACTACGTTATTTAACGTATTCATTTATTTGTTCATGTAAGAATAGGATTTGTTTTTTTAAATAAATACATACGAGAACTGCTATCAATTATTTAAACAGGTCATAAATATCCTTTGTAATACTATATTGAAGTACTGCATATATCTTATTTAATAGTTAAATATAAGTACTTACTTACCTCGATGATACGGTTACTGTCGTCAATTGCTCTCTGCAAAATAGATGTTTAAAACGAAAACTTTGTATCACAATTTATAATTCTCATCTTATATTTTGTACCATAGTTACGCTCACCACCAAAACAATAATAATTATTGCTTATAATTATTATAAACAGCAATTAGCTATTGTTAGATAAGGATGTTTTATATTTTGTTGAATGTATATGTTCGACTTTGATCTTCAGTTGGTACGTTTAATTTCGGAGGATGAGGTGAACGAAAAAATATTTATTACACAGTTCATAAATAATAAAAACTGACAATATAATTTTATTATAGTTTTATTTTTATCTTTAAAATAACATTAGGTCATACTAAATTTACATAGAAATTCAGGAATGGGATTAATTGTTGAACATTATTGCACTACCGTTATATTATTATATTATACATCAACATTTAAAACAGATAAAATCATAATGGTTTTATATTTACAATTAAATATACTATATACAATAGTTCAACGTTTGCAATAACTACTAAAAACGAAGGTAACTGATAAATAATTCACCTTGTGTTCACTAAAATTATGATTCAATTCTATAAAAGTGTATTAAATCATACATATATATATAATGGAAAGATATATAAATATATTTATAAATGTAACTTATATTATGTACACAACAAATTAAAAATAAATAGCAACTAAGAACAATAATGACTTTGTAAATTTTATTAAACCATTTATATTGTTAGTTATTTTGATAAAAATAAATAATTGAAAATTTATTTATATTGAAATTCAAATACCAATTACAAGTTATTTTAAATAACATCAAATAAGACTAAATCATTTATTTTTAAAATCCTAAAAGAGCATGATTAGTTTTTATTTATTACACCAATATTTAATATTACGTTTCAATTATATATTCGTTTAAATTTACTCCGTTCGATTAGTTGTTTATGTACTGTACAAAAGTATTATTGTTAGATACACTCCTTATCTAACGAATATTTTTATTTTTTTTAACTTTAAATATTAAGTTTAAAGTAAATTAACCGTGAAATATTATATTAATATACTAAATGAAAGTTGTAAATTATAAAAATCGCTTATTAATCAGTTTTTGTGTTAACACTGACATTTTAATCTAATCTTGGGATAATAATATTACCGTCTCCGACCCAGTAGAATAACTGTATGAAGTTTCTTCTAAAATAGTTCAGCAGTACAACTTTATAGTGTTCTGTTAACATCGATTAACACTAACCTTAGATCGGTATTACGGTTGGAAATTCGTTCCGAATAAAAAGTTTACCCGACAACATTACACTAAATCAAATAGGCTAGCACGACACGATTTATACTTCGATGTAAAGGTTAATAGTTACATGCTCTCATATGGGCCATTTTCGGTTTTAGAGTTATTAAAAACAAAATTGTATACGCACCTATGTGTAATGTATCATTGAGTTGAAAGAAATCGGGTATGTGTCTTGTAAGCTGAATTTTAGTCGCAGACGTGAGAGTTTTAGAGTTTTAGGTTTTTGTAGACCATCTGAATGCATCTAATCCATCGGTTCGTACTTGATTAACATCAAAAAATATTGTATTTACGATCAAATTAACTGATGTAAATGAATTAGGCACTTATATGCAGGCATTGATTAGAAATATTCTATAACTATAACAAGTCGTATGTAAGTAAGACTATTCTGTTGCGAATGAAATATTTCGTTAAAAAATAATTCCGAAAATCACATACCCGTTTCTTACTGATTTTATCTTTACATATTCAATAAAATATAATATTATTATATTGAATACAGATATATATTATGATTACAATATGTTAATAATTAATTTACATTATTTTTACAGCTTAATTTTGTATATTATTATATTTTATAATAATAATAATAATAATAATAATTATTATTATTATTCTTTTAAAACCAAGGAAATAATTCAATTAGTATAGTGTAAGACAGTATAAATATACGTTTGACCATTTCTAAATGTATGTGTGTCTGTATGTATGTTCGCAACTATAATAATAATAACATTTAAAACGATTATAATTAATAAATATTATACTTTAAATTAAATACTTATATATATATATATATACATACAATCTGTGACTGCTGACATAAGTGACTGGTCATCATTAAAATATTACAAATATTATGAAACATCAACGTTGTAACAGTATGTCAGAATAATATATATATATATATGTATAAGTTTTTATGTATTACAAAACAAATGCTAAAATTGAGATTTAAAACAGAAACCAAACGGCATAAATTTCAATAAATCATAATAATTATAATATTAATGTAGTAACGAACAATTAATATAAAACACGATAGTATTTCTTTAATTATGAGATATATTTTCCATGGAAAGTTGTTTGCTCCACACGTGCGTCATATCCCGTGAGAATACATGAGCGTCGACCATATGTGCGAGCGTTTAACATCATCTGTAGGACAAAGCGAACGCGGCCATGGTCAGCGTCCAAGACCAAGCAGCCAGTTTGGAGCCGGCACCGTGTTCGCCGTGTTGCATCGCGGCGGGATGTTCGCCTGAAAAGAAAAAATTAGAAAAAAAAAACCGAAAAGAGATGAAAATTTGATGGTAAATAATATATAAGAACGCATCAATTATTCATAAGCGCAAGTCGCTTCAATATTCGAGCAGCTATCTCTGGTCGACTGGCGGTGGGTGGTACGAGCGAAGGAGACGTATGCCAACGTTTCGTGACATCAATACGGGGTGGAAAAAAATTTCAACAAACATCGATTTAACATGAGACGTATATGTATGTATATATATGTAAATTTATGAATTATGTATAATATGTTTGCCGGTAGGTGTGAGAAAAAAAATATTTATGCATATATATTTTATAACGCTTCAAAGTTTGCACACTGTTTGCATCTCAATATTTTTTTCAAACTACCGTGTCCACGTTTAGCCGTATTTATCAGTGCACTGGACTAGCCGTAATGTTTTGGTACGTTTCGTTGGGTTATTTATTCGGGTAGTCTGCAGCTGTATTGCAATTTTTTTCTTTTGTTTTGTTCGTCGTTCGCGAGAGATAAAAAATATACAAGAAATCAAATATCACGCAGACCGACGACGAGCCATTGTGTTGGATAACGTAAAATGTATCATAAGCGTTACAAAATATAACGATATAAGTTCGATACTCCGCCGTGGTCGCACAAATTATACGTGCAGCGTTACACGGTCTGAGAGTCACGAGATCTTAGGGGAGTTACGACATATTAATATCTGGCAACCGATAATTTAACACCGGATGAAAAACTCTTATAATACGTGTATTATTATTGTAAGGGTCTTCTTGTAGAAATTAATAAGCTTAAAGTTTGTTGACCAAAAGAGGATAAGCACCGCTGCTCTTCAATCCGATTTTTATTCGAATACAGTATTTTGATGTAAGTATGTTATTATAACAATGTGGTCGTTTTAAATGTGTGTTGGAATCCAAACGTAACGTTTAATTGAAACGTATATTGAAAGTATTTCATGCAACCATAAAATATGTTTGAAATTAGAATCAATGAATAATTTTAATACAAAATGCGATACAGGACTACTCCATAAACTCATACAACTGATCAGAGACAACATCGTATAGCCTGTTCTGCTTTTAAAACGTTAGTTTTATCAATCAGTTACACATTAATTTAAACGCATTATTATTTTAAAATAATATTATACAATTTATCATTTTGAAATAATCGATCTATCAAAAACCATTGGGAGTCATAAATAAATATCGAACACTGCTCAAAATGTACTAGCGCTATACATTAAACGTGTTTTCGACAAATCACATTTATCTAGATTCATATTATATTTTCTGAGTAATCCTGTTAAAAGTGCAGTTATTGCCGAAAAAGTGTTTTTAAATCAGTAATATCCCATAGGGTATTAAATTTCAAACATTTATCGTATGAAAGCCCTCCAAAAACACGTAAATAAATGGGCCTCTAGCGATTTTTTCCATATCGTATATATACATGATGGAAACCATCGAATATAAATCGACATTATAGCTCCTGGAATTTTACTTCTAAATTGTACATAAAACTGGCACATCGATCATTGCTTTCGTACAACTTAGTTTTTGTAGAAAATATGAACACAAGGACATTTATTTTGAAAATCGTACGGAGAAATTGAAAATTACCCTTATCCATAATAATCACTAAACTACGGGTTTCGATAATTGAATCGACTTTAATTATTTCATCTACTCGATAATGGAGTATTTCACAGCGTAAGTTGTTTCTATAAAAACTCTTTAAAATTGTATTTAATAATTGTATACCTACATGAAATGAAAACATTCTATACGAATTGCTTATATACTTTGGTGTACTTGTACAAAACGTTCAAAACAAAATAAAATATTTTTGTAGTATGTTAACTATAATGTTATGAAATTATAAGTTAAATTTAATATTATAAATACATTAAAATGTGATAGAAAAATTAAAAATGAATAGAAAATAAACTAAAATATTCGAACGGAAATTAAATATATATATAAAAAATATAATGATTTCGTTTAAACAAAATGTAAATGTATAAAGCGAATACCTATAAAAACGTATATTAGAGCATGTTTTGAAAATATTCTATAAACGGAATCTGTTTTACGTAGAAAAAGATTCGTCCGAAAAAATAAATAGAAGAGACTTATATTCAACAACTATGAAATCATATATATATATATATATATATATAAGACTCGATTCAGTGGTAAGTAACTGATATGTATATATATACTGTTATAAAATAATATTTTACTGTTATGAATAATGTTTTGAGTATTTTATTCGGAATGTATTATTAACCTGGCTGGTGAGTTTTGTATTATGTATTCATAAACATGACTCTGTGATGTTTTATATTATTTTTATATTGAAAAGAATGAAACACTAAAAATGATTTTAAGTAAAACGACATTACCATGATGATTTAAAATTTTTATTATTTGCTATCAAGAAAATGACTGAAGAAATAAAATTGTATTTTTTCTACCATGGTATACATTTCTGTTCAAAATAAATGCAGATAATTTCAAATTATCACGAGTTTCGTAGAATCTTATATTTTTTAATTGTATTTCATGCGTATATTATACTTAACACTGTTTAGAAGCAATATTTTAAATATTTACCTGTTTGTAAAATAAGGGAATAAAAACAAAAATACAATACAAATAACAAAACGGAGAACGATAGTCTGACTGTCATTGTCATTATTAATTTGTATGTGATAAATAACGTTTTTTTTATTATACTTTTTTGACGCGATTATATACTTATCATAACTAATAATTTTCGCAGCTCTGAAATAAATTAGGACGTATTTGAAAATTTAAATATACTTTCAAAATTTGGAGACAATGAAACATAAACATTTTCAGATCAAAGAAAGATTACAATATTATGATTATTAGTATATTTATATTAAAACAAAAACATTTTTTATTATTAAAATTAAGAAATCGGTGATTATTTTTACAAGCATAATTATATTATGTGTATTATATATAAATATAAATACATATATATGTATATGATATATATAATATACTTAATGATATAAGATATCAAATAAAATACGAGTATTATACTATAAGTTGAGTTTTAGAAATTTATATTTATCTTGTGTATTTGTAACAAAGTTTTTAATTATAATTCAAATGTTTATTTTTTCCTCAAATTTTAGTTATTTACTTTTTACTAGTTGAAATATGTTTTACTATTTTTTTTTTCTTTCATTTTTTTTCTCTAGAATGATGAAATGTGATGACATTATTTTTACATTAAACAACTTTACCTTTTGAAATCATATTAATTTTAAGTGATGCAATTTAAATGATCGTATAAATTATCAATGACTAAACGTGCAACACATTGTTCAATAAATGGTAATAATTAAATATTCAAATAGGATTCGTATATTATTAAAATTATAATTTGAACAAATTTCCGAAATAATTGTTTAAGGTCATCGAATATATTTATCATGATCAAATTGTTTGCTTCACCTACATTACATAAAATATTTGTAAATTAAATAAAACGAATGAAATAATACGTCATATCATGGAATAACTAATAAGAATATATTTTAAACCTCAAGTATGTATTTTAAATAATTAAATCTTATTAAATATGTTTACATTATAATGACTAAATATGTTGTAGGTACTTAATTGCATAACTCACGTTGAACAATCAAAGTTTACCTATAATTTTTGTATTCATACAATGTGTTATGTTATTATTTTAATTGAAATACATTTTTTTAATTCATTTAAATTCCTAAAATAACAACATTTTTTGTGTTTTGCAAACAACTTGCTTGATTTAAAGATACATAAGTATTTTAACTCTTTCAATCCTAAAAATCTATCATTTATGTATATTTATCTATCAAATATGTACAAACAAAATATATTCTTGAAAACCCTTTTCAAATACACTAATTACACTAATTACGTTTCATGCATGTGAATGTTAACGATAACTTATAAACTGAAAGATTATTGTTGGATTTTCAGGATCAAACATGTTGAATGTTTATGCTTAGGATAGCCAAAGGGTCGATTGTTTATTGATAATGATTTGTGGAACTATCAACGTATATATGACGTAATTTGTGTTCTATAGTATACATATATTATTAATTATTATTTCTGCTTTGATTCATCTTCAATCAGTTGTTATTTTATATATATAGTCTTATTATCAAACTCTTACGGAAACATATTTCCTCCATTGATTTAATATAAAATAGCCTGCTCATTCCTAGTTGATTACAAAAGATAATTGAAAATATACTTACAGAAAACCTATCAATAAACAATATCAATGTTGTTTTGTCAACATTAGTCCAGAAGTTCACAAAATATTTCATTTATTTTTTTATTTTGGAAATTCGCGAAACTAATATTATGTATTTTTATTTCTAAAAGTTGTAAATGGGAACACTTTAGAATGTCATTTACAAAGAATAAAATATGATACACGGTGATATTCGTAATATATTTACGTGATAAAAATGGGTACAATATAATGTTTGTATTAAATAAAACCAAACCATGTGACCGAATAAATATCTTATTACGTTGTTATGCTTTATGATATTTATCATAAATTCATTATACCCACAGTGGCCATCGTACAATATATCATCAACTGTTGGGATTTTTACGTGATAAAATCATAACCCACTATTCATTGGGTTATATATATATATATATATATATATATATATATATATATATATAATATTTCGAAAGGTTTTTAAATTATCAGAGTATCAAAGGTTTGTGTTGAGGGTGAAATATATATTTTATGTTCGTGTTTGTGCGGTCAACGACACAAGGGAGTTTGAAAAAGGAGACGTGTACTAATGGTTTTTCGTTATTTTTTATTAAATGAAAATGTTAAGAAGTCAGTGCTCATAGAATTACATCAGTCGAACATCCCAAAATTGTAAATTACATTGAGTCAATTCAAGAGATAGTGTAAATTTTATATTACACAACATTTTGAAAAGATAACTAACCAACAGGGATTAATGTATAAAAAAATCTAAACATTCATTTCATCAAGTTGTTATCATTTTCTATAATGTATTCCTTCTCAAGAAATGTTAACTTTCAGTTGTTTTTTTTTTTTTTTTTAAATACCATAATTTGAAATATCATGTTTGTTTAGGATACCATCAATATTCGTGTATTATTCGTGTATTCATTTTTAATAATTTACTGAGTCAAGTACCATAACAATGTTATTTTGTAATTTTTTATACGTCATGAATTAAATACATTATGGCCGTCAATATTTATAGGGTAATATTGAAAATTATGGTTATACTAAAATGATCATTCATAATCTATATTATATTGATACATCGACGTTAAATCTCTTTGTTAAAAAATTTATTTTGAAAATTCAAACCATGCTGTAAAACACGTACAACAAGCAGTTGAGATAAAATAAAAACAACTTAAACATTATTCCAAAGGCTAATTATGCATCTAAAAACTTTATATCTATCTGTACCCTTATGAATACATTAAATACATTTCAAAGTCGATCGAGTATTTCTATTTGAATATTTAACACGACGCCGATAAATTTTGTTTTATGCGGTTTCGAAAACGCCGACTTTAAATAAAAAAAAAAAAATTAAACTATTTTTATTCCCCTACTACGTCGCAGCATTGCATGCGTTACAGGCAGGATTATTTTTTAGAATTCTTTTGTATTTTTCTATATTTTTTTTATGATGTCCGTTTGATCAAGTGTACGCGGGCGTTAAACTCACCATTGAGCACGTGCACGAAGACGGTGGCTGTATTCGCGTTGCTCGGCTGGCACGTGTAGTTGCCGGTGTCGGACAGCCCGGCCTTGGTGACCAGCAACCTACTGGTGGTGCCCGACTCTGTCTTTTCCGTCTCAAGGCTGATGCCGCCACGACCGCGTGGCGAATCGAAGTCCACCACCTTGGTGCCCTGGAGCCACACCACCGAGCTGGGCGGCGTCGAGTGCACGTTTACGGAACACGTCAGGCTAATGGTGCTGCCCTTCTTCACGTACACCTCCGCGGGCCCTTGAATGTTGGCTTGAGCGGCTGCACGGGCGGATGAGTGACAAAAGCGGAATGATGAAAAAAAAAAAAAAATCCCGAAAAACGGGCTCCGTCAGTGGAAACAATGAAAACAGTGAAAACAACAATAATAATATATACCATATGGTATAAGTCTTATAAAAATGTTTTTAAAATATGTTTTTTTTTTTTTTGTTTACGTATATTTGAATATCGTTCGAACGTCGATGAACGGTATTTGACTATATAATTGTTATTTTAATTTTTCCATTCCAATGCCTTTGAACATTGTAGAAAAAAATAATATATAAAACGTTTTTTAACTGTTTGAATAGAGATATAAATATGAATTTCATCCGGAGAACAAACGGTTTACGCTTGAAAATTTATTTATACTTATTTGTAATTATTTGTTAAAAATACGAGTACATGTATGATTATAGTTTACCGGAGTATCTTAAAATATGTTTTACGAACAATTATGTACTATGGATTACATTTGCTAATTGCTTATTGTTTTCGATTTTTTTTTTTTTTTTTTTTAATTATGACACTATAAATTATAATATTTTAAAGCATGGATACAAAATGATTCATCATGATCGATGTTTGTTAAAAGCACATAATTCACTTAAAATATTTATTTTTCGTGAAAAATTCCAATTAAAAAAGAATATAATTTAGTTTCGAGTAAATGCATTTATATAATTAATTTATACATCAAAGCCTGGTTTAATGCACTAATTACTGCTTTTCTACGTAGACAAAATTTAGAATTTTTAAAAAAATATCTACGGATGTATAACTATAAATGAAGAAATATCTAATACAATTTTAAATAATTTGTAAATCATTTATGGTATTTTATTTTAGAATATATTTCTCTAGCATTTTTCCATAAACCTATTCAAAATTAAAATGGTAATTTAAATTAAAAAATTGACAGTAAAAACGTAGATGGAAAATAAGATTACGCCGTGATAAATAAATGTATAATTTTAAATTTCAATGAAGTAACAGATTTTATAATCAACTATAAAAAGGAAAATTTCGTATTAAAAAAATCTTAACATTTTTTTTTTTATCGACTTGTATAAATTATAGTTTTCTAGTAACAGTATATCTTACAGGTTGAAGCATAATATCAACGACCATTCCCGAATAGCAAAAAAGTTATGTTAATGGGATGAGTGTATTTACATGTCTTACAGTGTAATTTATAATAATTTTCTATTTATATTTTAGACTAGAGTTGTAATCGTTTATTTACGTTTTTCGCTTAATCTATAATTATGTTATAATAATTTGAATATAGTCATAATTAAGATACTTTGAGTGCTTTGGGGTACGTATTAAATTTCATATAACTTATATGTTATATATTTCATCTTATGTTTAACCAAGTGTAAAATAAATTAAAAAAATATTTTACTAAAAAAATTAAATATTTTATTTCGTGTAAAACATAATATTCAATAAACAAGGTTCTATATATATATATATTATTTATATTTTTAATTTTCTTATGTTTATCCTACTCTCGTAATAAAACAATCAATCCAATGAAATTTTTACCTATAATTGCTTTTTAAAACATTTTAATTTCGGTCATTATGCAGGATATTTTGTCATATTATTAACTGTTATTTTAATATACTTAAAAATCTGTAAAAAAGACAATTTTCTGAAATAAATCTAATATTCAGTATTTTATAATTTTTAATAAAAAATAATAGATGCATGAAAAATTGTATAACTCTATGGTTTTTATCGAAAACATAAATATTTATAGTTTACGTTATATACATTTTTACAATAAATTCAGTAATTTATTGATTAAACACGAAAAACTACAAACATCACCTATTTTTCAATTATTCATCCCTCTTGGGACACGTGGAGCAGAATAGTAATCATGAACAAATTTAAATCAAATTACTTTCTTATAATAATGAACAAAATTAAGGGGTAGGAAATCAAGAGTTTGTAAGTTAAAAAATAAGGACCAACCTTATGTATATTTTATTGGATACGCATAGCGAATAATGCACTTTGTTAGGATTATTAATGATCTAATAAGAAAACGGTGTAATTTGAATAGAACGATTTCACATCATTGAAAAATAAAATAAATCAGCGCATTGAGTTACTTACGACATTTTTGTAATATATAGGTATATAAATAAAGATAAGTATGACGTCGCATATGGTATGTTGTTTCAGCGGAGAAACTTGAACGTAATAAAAAAAATAACGTGGAAAAATAATAAAAATACGTCTCTTAGAGAGGTTACTACATTTTACGAACTTGATTAAAATTATATGCTAAATATACTGTTTGAAGGTGTACAGATACTCGTCTTACAACTATCGATAAAAAATTAAATATTCAATTTGCACCGTACGATCAAATTCTAGACTATTTCAAACGGTCTAGAAATATTATTCCAAGACGTAATACTCGCTATGAAATATTATCTTCTAAATATAACAGTGACTAGGTAAATAATAACTTGCCCGCAATAATTCATGGATTTTATTGTTTTCAAATCTTTTCGAAATTTTGGAATCCGAATTCACTTTACCGCTTGACATTAATATTTATATTAATTAAATGAATATACTATTACCTATGAGTATAGGTCAAACCTAACGCTTTTTTTAAAATTCCACGAAGAAGTAAATGCGTATAAAAGTTTATTACGAATTAAAGTATCATTTCATATATATTAATGTATATTATAGGAGGTGTTATAATGTGTGTAAAAAATAACAATTTTTCTGGTATATTGGCATGGTATACTGTGTTTTGTCCAAATCCTGCCCTCATTAACATTCGGTATGGTATAGAATATTATAATATATGTAATTCACATATTGATAGCATTAAGGAGAAAAAAAGAAGTTGGACATTGGATTTTATGATCATAAAATATTTATGATTAATAGTAGATATTTCAAAACTTAATCGATGAACATTTTCAACACATTATTTAATTTTTTGTAAACGCCTATAGTTCAATTTGATTTTAACATGATATTCGATCCATCGATTATTCTCTGACCGTTATGCACTACTCGATTTATTTCCGTAGAATAAGTATAATCCTATAATCAAACTCGAATGACAGTTGTTAGTTTTAAACACCTTAGTAGGAATATTAGTAAAATTGATCTTGATTTAGTTCAGCATGACCGGTGAAACTAACGTTGAAAAAAATAAATTTTCTTATCATGACCGAAGGGTAATAATATCCTATCGGAAAATTTATTTTATATTCAATAGCTTTTTCATACCATATTATTGGTCAACGGTATTGAGGTATAATAAAATATTATACAGTGAATATCACAGTTTCTGCATGGTGGTATATAATATCTAAAACTCCGTTTGTGAAATGTTCGATAGCTTAAAATTGCAATTTTTTTTTTTCGATCTCATATTGGTTTTAATAAAAAAAAATATTCATCTATATGACCAATATAACAGATTTTAAAAAAAAAAAAATGATAAAATTAAAATTGCAATGAAGATTAAAATTCATCATTTCTATATTCGTTTGAGTAGAAGAGTGCTGTTACTCTGCATCAGCTGAATATTCGAATTATCCGAAATGTCTATGTGAAAATAATCTGAATTGAAAAACTCATTTAGCTAGTCGTGATAGCTTTAGCCAAAACAGAAAACAGAAAACGATTTTCTTTAATCTTTGATTGGGAGATCATATCGCTTCACTCGTATTAGCGCAATTATATTATTTTCAGTGACTGATTTCAATTGGTTATAATATTATCACGTACGAAATCCAATTCTGAACAGTGCTCAATTTATCCAATACAGTCGTCAAGATGTTTTTATAATCTATTTCATGGTTTATAAGCTAAAATAGTCGTTTAGTGGAAACAAAAGTTATTTGATTTTTTTTAAAAAAAACTCAAAAAACACTGAGTTAAATTTTTTGTTTGAAAAATGTACGTTTATGGTCTTAGATTTTTTTTTTCTTAGTGATAAAAACTATAACTAAAAAACGTATGAAAAAATCATTACCCGATTCATAAATTTGTATAGTAACTCACATATGCAACGGTTTTTGTACAGTTCTATTTATTATTTGCGTAAAACTATATTTGAATAAAAGTATAAGAAATCACTTATGTAATAAATAATAATAGTATCAATAATATTTTAATACGTACTTTGAATACAATTAAAGAGTGTTAATTAAACTAAGCTTTTAAGCTTTAGAGTATATTTTTCAATTTTATTTAATATTTCGATAAATAATAATCAAATTCTTATGTAAATATTTTTATAATTATGGTCTGTGAATAATCCTACAATTTAATTTATTTTTAATACAAATATAATGATGTAAAACAATTTTTGTTAATTGAAATTTTTGAAAATTTTGCTATTTCAAATAAAATATACTTTTCAATTTGAATATTCGTATATTCTTTGTGTATTATATGATTAACTTTGTATCCTAAGGTTTCTATGGATAAATTTCAAAACTTTTTAAACATATATGAATGCATCACATTTTTTGTGAAATATTTTATTTTCGTTAAAATAATTCATATTCTTTGTATATTTATTAATAATTCAAATACATTTTTTGAATATAAAATAAAATAGTTAATACATATTTATTTCTATACTGAAGTTTTAAATCATATTGAATTCTAAGAATAAATAATTTTGTCTATAATTCACAATTACTGTAATTACATAATTACCGTACTTTTAAAAATTGACAAATCTGATCACATTGTGTATATTAAATAAAGTTGAATAAATTACTTAAGTTAATAAATCAACTCCACGTTTTATATAACACAAATAGTTGTACGTCATAAAATATTTAATGGATTTACACAATAAATTATAATTTTACCACACGTATTTGCCAGTAAAATAATCTATTCATTATTTATATATTTCAATTTTCACAAAACCATCAATATAAATATTGCTACCAGATTTTGGTTATCAGTTTCGAAGAAAAAAATCTTTAATTTGGAAAACAGTGGAGTTATCATGCACTTCGAACAAAAACATTATTCGTCGATTAATATCGTCCCAACGATTTCTGAACAAAAAGTTTATACATAACGTGCACCCGAGAATTGTTAGTTCGTATCGGTTTCGTAGTACCCCACAAATGTCAAAACATCCCTTTGGCTGGTTATTAAACTGTAGCAGTGCATAGTTTTGTTTCGTTTTGGTTATACACAGGTATGCAACTTGAAAATATTTCTTTTTGGCTCCTCCACTCTTAATCAGAACACCCATGTCAGAATATCGATGTTCCGGAATTATTAAAAGTATCATAATAGCTAACCAGATACATATTATCCTTGGTTTAGCATATGTCACATGTTTAGAAATACTTCAACGCTGTTTACTGATGAAAAAAATGAATAATAAGATGTCAATAATACAACGATTTCACATCTCGATAGTAACGCGTGGATTCAAAATTGAGTTTTCCGAGTGTATCGAATTGCTAATGTAGTGCATGTGTCATATTTAAATTCATCTACACCATTTCATTGTTGTCAATATGTGAAGAGATTTGTTTCTCTTTGTCAAATTCCAAATACGTTACAATAAACATAATACATGCTCTTATGTAAAAACATTTGTTGGCAAATAATCCTCGAGCAAAATTATTACGTGCATTAGTTTTACGACTGCCAGTACAAATTAAGTCAAATAATGTAATATTTTAAAGAAACTCGTAGCACCTAATATATTAGAATGTTTTTCTTCAAACTAACTGTCCCCAACAAAAAAATTATATTACTCGATTTTAAATAAATAATAAATGGTTCTTTAAATTCATATAAAAAATGTATGTGTGTATTTGTTATGTTTCTTTAATCATATAAATACTCATATAAAAATATTCTCATACTCAAAATGTTTTATTAAACTGAACATCAATTTACAATTAACAATGAACATCTTCTGAATAGTTATCAAATATTTTTACCATGTTATAATAAGTGAAAAAATAAATAATTCAATTTTTTATTTATATAAATGATACTAATTAAATATATATTTTTTTTAAATTATCATTTCAACTGTCGTTTGAAGTAAAGTTTCCTAATGAAGTATCAAAATTTAATTTTCAGTGGTTTGTGTATTTTTTTCATAATGAATGATTCGGTCTCAAGAAATATGTTTCGAGATTGACGAGGTATATTAGAATCATGTTAATTTATGAAAATCTATTATTATTATAGTCTATATACAAACGAGTTTATACATACATACGATACAAACCGTCAATAGATTCACATGTTCACGATTAATTAACACGCATTTAATGGAAATTTTAAAGTATATGTGAGTAAACAAAACTCGCATGACCAGCTTCCAATAGAAATAACTGAAACGTTCTTAATTATTTTGCTCACTTCAAAAACGTTAATTAAGTTAATGAAGGTTAATCTCGGATTTAAAAAAAAAAAAAAAAAATAATAATAATAAAAAAATTGAAAAACTATGAAAAATCGTAGAATTACGCTTTTTCACCTCCCAATGACGCCACTTGTTGTAGTAATCAAAACAACAACTTTCGTAAGATCGCATGACTATATAATTTCAATATACTATTTTATTATATACGTACAGTGAAAAAAAAATCGATCTTTTAATACGTACTACCTTCGACGTTCAGTTGCACGGCCAAATTGATCTTCGGCTCGGTGTTCACCTGACACTCGTATATGCCAGCGTCCCTCTTCTGCACGAACGTTACCTTCAGATCCCACTGCTCGCTGTTTTCCGGATGCACGACGCTGAAACGCCCGTCACCGGTGTACGTATGAATGCTAGACGTCAATATGTGCAAGTCTCGTTTCCGCATCCAAGAGACCTGAGAACAACAAAACACGTTTATGCATCCGGTTAGTGTTAGTTATTTATATATAATATAAATAATAATACAATATCAACTAGGAGCACACAAGAGGACGTTGAAAACAAATACGATATAGACACGCGCTTGGTTATGAACAGCAATCGTATACATTTATTTGGATAATATTAATAACAAGACGGGAAATAATTAAAAAATTATAAAATCAATCAAACGGATTTTGGACTTTTTCTAATTATATTATATTATATCTAGATCTATTTCGTGGTTTTCGTACAAGTCACTAAGTCCTACAAAAATATTTAGGGTCATATTTCTCTCGAGACATGTGAGCATTTGAATATCACTGCAGTTTTTGATAAGCATTATTCACACATTTAAAATATTATCCACCGTACTGTCGTCATAATACATAAACGTTCATTTGGCCACAAAAATATACGAAATTTTGTAAACTCGAGTAAATAAGAATATAGTTTAAAAAATAAAATTATCATTTTTTGATTGATATCAATGAAATTGCACATGAACAAGTTGAAAAGTTAAATTGATTTTAAATGTACTCGTATTAAGTGCATTGTACATATTATTAAATATTGAACACAAAACTTCCATTTCTTATAACCTATTTACCGTTGACTTTAAATAAGAAAAAAAAAAAGTAAAAAGTAAATAGTGAAAATGCATCTTTAAATTGTTCAATATTTGGTGAGAACAAAAATAATCCAAGCTATCATTTACATTTAATTTTGTTTTTTTCGATTGCATTTTAACTAGGTAAAGGCGAAAAGCTAATTCGTTTACAGGTGTTGAAATACCCTGACCTGATTTGCATATAATTAATCTCAATATAAATATTTATTTATATTAATATAGAAACGACAAGCAACCCATGGCTGTTATATTGTTTGACGTCTTTTATGAAACGTAAAAGAACAGCGTAGCTTACAAAAAAGAAAACGTCCTCACCTGTGACGTAATTTTTTGATGTCTTATCACGTGTACAACAATAGCCCATATATTTTTTGCCTTAAAACCGTTATAAAATTTATATCAAAAAATTATATTTTTTTATTTATTTATTTTTTTTTTAAATAAAAAAATAACTTACAAAAAATATAGCAGAATAAAAAAAATCCCAATCATAATAACCGGCTACGTTCAAACTGTTCGCAAATAATTTCAAGCGGAAAAACTCCCATAGTATATGCACGTTTTTCTTATTTATTACGTTTACCAAGAGTATCTAACTTTACATTAGGGCACATAACATATTTATGGCTTGCTGATTTACACCATATGTAACTAAACATCAAAAGAATCTTTTGATTTTTGCTATAGACCTTAATAGTGCCTGTAAAATCGTTATTGTAATTTATGCAGTTTCGGACGGAAAAGGACATTGTGTTTGTATCATGCATATTGCTATATATACTTATACTTATTTATTAAATATTTATGAATTTTAAAAAAACAAATTTTATTTATTAAATTTGAATATATTTTTGAACATCGCTCTCGTGGTCCATACTTTTATTTCTTATTATAACTATAATCATTATTTATTTTCAAATCATTATCATTTAGGTCTATGAATGGATATTGTAACTTATTAACGGTTTGACATTGCGTGGGTTCAACGGTTGAAAAGTTAACTCATGAATGTTCTCAAACCGAATATTATATTTATATGCAGTTATTTAGGATGATAATGTTATAGATTTTTCTATATTATTTTAATGGTATGGTAATCGATTATTACACTAGCGTACGATAAGATAGGTACAATTAGAAATAATGAGATTTTTAAACTTCAGTTTAGATTTAGCACAATGATAAATACGGCTTATAAGATTTTAAAAAGGAAAAAAAGCATATAAAATCTGAGATAAAAAACTATTTTTATTGCGTGAGGCCAGACACGTGACTTCCATTTAAAGAGCTTCAAATAATGCTCGACTGTAGTAATAATTATCTATTTATTAGGTCTTAAATAGGCATATAGCTTATATTTAAAACAATATCGATTTATTTAAGAGTAAAAGAGTAACATGATTTTAAAACAGTTTTAACGTGGTGATTCATTGGAAAATATGAGAGTTGATAAAAACATGGTTTTTTTTTTTTTTGGTTTACTCTAGGCCATTTAGGCCCATTGCCGTTTCCACTATCTCCCTCCATGATTCTCTATGTTCTGCCAGTTCCTCTCTATTCATGACTCCCAGCATCCTAATGTCTTCCTTAACTCGGCCCACCCAACGTTATCTAGGCCTTCCTCTCGGTCTACTTTTGTTCGGTTTCCATTTCGTGATGGTCCATAGAAGTTGGTCTTTTGCTCTCCATACGTGTCCGGCCCATCTTATTTTTCGGCTCTTGAGTGTGGCAACTATATTGGGTTCGTTATATAAAGCGTTCAGTTCTCTATTTGATCTTATTTCATAGATACCTTCTTCATTTCTTTTTGGACCAAATATTCTACGTAAAATTTTTCTTTCGAAGATCATTAATTTGTTTTCGTCTGATTTGGTAGATACCCATGCTCCACAGGCGTATAGTACAATTGGTCTAACGAGAGTCTTATAAAGTCTTATTTTCGTTCTTTCGATTAACATGTTTAAACGTTTAAAATCAAAAATGGTTTAAAAACGTTTAAACATGTTTTATTTTTTTTTAAAAATGTTTTTTCCAATTGTTCTTTTTACCATTTTAAACATGTTTAAATAACGTTTTAATTGAATTTTATACGAAATAAATTGATTGTTATGGGTTTATTTATAATATAATACACGCACTTAGATAAGTATGATTAAATATAACATATAAGTTCGTAGCTACAAGTCTACTTATAATTAACCTAAATATTAACTATTAACTACTATAAGCACAATTTATATGAATTTAAATATTATTTTAATTTGATTTGTATTATCATACAGAGTAAATTAACTACAGAAGTATGTTAAATTTAATGTAAACAAAAATTGTAATTCATATATATATTTATTTATATATTTGTGGCTGATGCAGGTTTACGTTGAGAATACTGTATATTTAGTGTTAACTTTTACTCATTAGGTTTAGTTGAATATTATAATAATAAACAGAATCATTAATTGATTCTTAGTTAATTGTTTTTTAATTTTTATTAGTAAACCAATTTTGTTTACTAATAAATATTAATAAGCTGCATAAGAGTTATTACTGTTATATTATATTATTCATGAAATATAATAATTTAGTATTATAATTGTGGTTAAAAATGTGAGAATAGTAACTAAATATTAGTTATAATTATTTTATAAAATTATACAATCTAAATCTATTTACGGAGAAAACTATGGTATGAATAACTATACAGTTGAATTTCAATATGTCGAAAACCTTGATAAGTCGAAATGAATGCCATTCCCTTTCGAATACCTCAATTAGTTGAAAGAAAATTTATATGATACTCATAAAAATCTATGTTCAATTTCTGCTTTCACACTCTCAAGTCAAAGTAAGAAAATAAATTATCCATCGTTATATTACACTAGAACACACATTATTTTATAATTTTTATGGATAATTTAAAATAATAACAAAAAAAATTATATACTATAGTTATATGTATTATTTTTACTATAGAATAAATAAAAACAATATTACATTTTTAAAACTCATTAATTTGAATGTTTTCATTTAAACCTTAATAACTAGAAACCTTGATAAATCGAAAAGAATATTATATCTTTGAATATCGACTTATTGAGGTTCGACTGTAATATAAACATTAAAAGAAATCAATTTTATTTGAGCATATTGGGTTAATGAAAAAGATTTTTTTTTTAAAAATTAGATAAATTAATTTTTAGAATAAAATATTAATAAATTTTGAACTTCGATTGCAATTTAAAAAAAACTTCCTACGATAATTTCCTTTAAACTAAAAATCAAATGTTTTTACTCTTAAATTGTGTCCTAAAATGGATATTTGAAATTATAATTAACTATATTTATATTAATGTACTGGAATAAAATTATGGAAACGTCATTCTCTTCAAAAATTAATTTTATTTTTTATTAATTAATTAATTATTTATTTATTATTTAATTATTTATTAATTTATTTAATCATGTTTACATGATAACATAACGTATTTATCTAAATATTCTGAAAGGTTAAAATAAAAATTTACTATTATGAAATATGTTGTATAAAATATTTTCTAATAAGCTTCAAGAAATTCATCACCCTCTGTGATACCCTAAATTATTTTTGTAATTAATATGCGAAACTTTAGAAATATAATTAACGTTCAACAAACACGCAGAAGATAAATTTGTGTTTGTTTAATTTTTGATTTGAGTTCCTTAAAATTCGTGATTCTGGAAAAAATCAATTATGTGTAAACTTGTAAAAAAATATGGATATACTGTTATTAATTAGTTTTTTATAAAAAAACATTTTAAGTATGTATATTAAAACAAAATCTTAAATTTTGAAATCAATTAAAATTGAAATTATTCTCATTTAAGTTAAACTTATTTACGTTTCAATTTGTTTATAATAAAATTAATATTAATTTATTATAATCATGATATGTATTGATTTTCTATGCAATTTACTTCAATAATAATTACATTAATATTTTGTCATACTATATTTGAAATTTACAATTATTTTGTGTCGTTACTTTTCAATAAATAAAAATAATACATTTTATGACAAAATAAAATCGATTACGTTTACTTCGTATATTTATTGTAGTTCCATCCTCTTATTTTACATTAGTATATTTAAAAAAGTTGTAAAATTAAACAATAATTTAAATTTTACTCTATATAAATATTAAATTTAGTTTCAGAAATATTAACTAAAATTATAAAGTCTTAAAAATAAAATTATTTTTATAATTTTAATAAACTGACCTTTGTAAGGTATTTGTTTCATATAATGAAACATTTTTTGTGGATTAGGGAACAACTATTTAAAAAATAATAAAGGAAATTGTGAT